TAATCTGTGTAGCACCATGAGGTGGTGGCTTACCGGAAAAGATTCAGCCTGTCTGACCTGGCGGCTGGCTCCATGCGTCTGACTGAGGGAGAATGTATTACATTAAAAAAAAAAATCTATTTTCAATAAAAGGGGGAAAACATATTTAGATTGCTTTGAGTTAAAAAAATGTAAGGCCACAGTGACCATTTTGAGATAAACCTTCATATATATTCTTGTTAATTTTCTTTAAAAAGTTTCTAAAAGTATATTTACTTGATGAAATGTTATGAACATTATGAAGGCATTTTATGTACATTTAAAGAAATAAGTAAAGGCAAGGAAATCTCCATTTCTTCCTAAAGCATTAATTTAAATAAAATGTACTTATTATACTTCCTCTAATAATGGCTATTGTTAGGACATTTTGTTCAAATATTGCATGGCATGCTTATTGAAATGTAAAAACCAAGTCTCATCTAATAAAAACGCTACATTATGTGTTTTTGTTAGATAGAGGTAGGAATCAATTTATCTGCTTATTTGTAATTTCCTGACATCAGCTCTCACTGATGAAAAATGAAAACAGTAACAACAACAACAAAATCAAAGGTACAACCGGAATTTTAGAGAAAGTGAGAGAGAAGAAGACAGCCATCAAATTGCTGCCCTTCACCATGTGAGGAGACAACAAACACATGGACCCTCACCAGACAGCAAATTTGCCACGACCCTGCTCTTGGACTTGACAGCTTCAGATCTGTGGGAACCAGATTTGTTTGTGAGCTACCCAGTTCATGGTATTTTGCGATAGTAGGCCAAAAGAAATCAGATTGCTCACTCCCCTGTGTGTAAGCCTTGCTTTGAAGACATTTGACAATTTCTGTTGTGTAAAAACCTCCATAATGCCTTGGTAGTTTCAAAGAAAATGACTCCCATAGGGAGTGGCACTATTAGAAGGCGTGGCTTTGTTGGATTAGATGTGGAGGACATAAATCACTATTGGGGGCAGGATTTGAGGTCTCCAGTGTGCAAGTGACCTCAGTGTGTAGCACACAGACTCCTTCTGCTGCCTGGGGATCAAAATGTAGAACTCTCGGGTCCTTCTCCAGCACCATGTCTGCTGGCCCGCCGCCATGTTCCACTGTGATGATAATGGACTACACCTCTGAAACTGTAGGCTAGATTTATGTGGTCATGGTGTCTCTTCACAGCAAAAGAAACCCTAAGACAACGCCTTATTTCAACCTACCAGCTTTGTCACTGAACACAGAATCTCAAAGAGATAATGTACCAAATCATTGTTGACTTGGTCACCCAGAGAATGGAGTCTAGACTGTCCAGTGTGTTCTTAAAAATGGCGTTTATATCTGTCTAAGTCTTGCTGGTTCCTTTATGGTATAAGAATATGACTCTCCTTACTATTGTTATGGTCCTGTGTTTGGTGTTTCTGGAGAGATGGGACTACTGAATTTGAGAGCTCAGAATCAGGAAGAACACATTAATCCTGAGTGCCACTGGCATTCTGAATTTCACAGGTAGATACAAAGTATCTGTCTGTCTGTCTGTCTATCTATCTTACCAAATAGAAAGTATAAAAATATAGTGTGAATAAATAAAAGGAAAATGTAGAGATGATTTTTTAATGCACCATGTCAGAAATAATAGTATTATTTGTACCATTACACTAACCAACAAAATGTTAACTGTTATGGCAAAGAGATAACTAACGTGTGGAATGAAATGTTAAAACTACTATTATTATTGGTGTACATGAAAGGGTAATGAGGGTGAAGCTTTCTATATGTGTTAAAATTTTGTGATTTAGATTGGCTTACCCTGTTACGTCCTCCTCCCTAACTCTTGATTCTCTATTAATGGCACAATTGACTAACTGTCCATACAAGTAATGAATGTGGGTATCACCACGATTCCTCAGATCCTGACTTCCCCATTTACACTGGAGTGTAGAATTCTAAATTTCCCACTTGTCGGCTGTCTTCTTGGCTCTTGTCTCCAGCCACACCCCGACGACTATGGCCTGGACTTTCCTAATGACCTCATGTCTCTGCCTGGAATGTCAATCTCTTTTACAGACTGATTTCTCAAGACTTTGAAGCCAGACAACCCTGGGCTTGAACCATTCCATTAATTACTAGCTGTATGATCATAAAATTATCCAGTGTGTGTGTTTTCTTTTGTGTGTATGGTTTAGTACATGTATGTTCGAGTGTGCATGTTTATGTAGGCTAAGTATGGAGGTCAGCAGTTGATTTGGAGGTATCTTCCTCAATCACTTATCACTCTCCACCTTTTTGAAAAAAAATTTTGTAAAAGTATTTTTACAAATACTTTTATTTTTAAAATAAAATTTAAAAAAAATTGTAAAGAAATGATTGCAAACTTATTTGACATATAGGAAATCTTACTAAACTGCAGTTTGTAATTTTAAAATGTAGGGGAATTAAGCTTTTGATCGGGAGAATGCAGATAATAAATTTGACAGCATACACTTGATGAAATCACTAATGTGAAATAATTAAAATTCTACAAAATATTAAAATGTGTTTACAAGCAAGTGTGGTCGCAATAAAGGCTAATGTCGGTTACCAAGACAACGTTGACCAAAACTCACTTTGTTTCTTGGTCTCTAGAGATTTATCCAGAAGGCTCACGCATTAAACAGTTAGAGAAGATCATTTTGTTCATGGTTTTCAGATAGGGGCTCTCACTGTGATAGCTAATCTTGGTTGTTATCACACCACGGCAGGGCAGGGCACCTCAACGGAAGATGGTCTTCGTCATGTTGGCTTTAGGGCCGGTTTGTGGGGCATTTTCTAGATTGCTGGTAGGTGTGGGAGGGCCCAGCCCAGCCCACTGTGAGCAGTAAAATCCTCAGGCACGTGGGGCTGGGCGGCATAGAAACAGAAGGGAACTGAGGGGCTAGAGAGATGGCTCAGTGGTTAAGAGCACTTGTGGCTCTTGCAGTGGACTAACGTTTGGTTATCATCACCCACGTGACGATTCACAATGACTCACATGACTCTATGTATGTATGTATGTATGTATGAATCAATCAATCAATCAATCAATCAATCAATCAATCTATCCATCCACCCCTATCTCAAGATTCCAGGGAATCCAAAGTGGTCTGCTGGTGTCTGTGGGTCCCAGGTACTCATGTGGTACATGTAATATGTGCAGGTAAAACACTCATACACATAAAATAGTTTTTTAAAAGACAGCTGAAACTGAGCAAACAAATCAGAAAGCAGGATTTCTGTGGTTTCTACTTCAAGCTTCTACTTTCTGCTTTGGAGTTCCTGCCGTGACTTCCCATCATGATGGATTTTAAATTGGAAGAAGAAATAAACCTTTTCTTTCCCAAGCTGCATTTGCTCATGGTGTTTATGACAGCAACAGAAAGCTAAGTCAGACACTCACGAACCTGGATCTCATAGATTTGGCTAGGAGGGCTGACCAACGAGCACTGGGTATTTGTATATGGGGCACACAGCCAGGCTTTTCATGTTGGTGCTGTGGATTTGGGCTCACCACTTTCCCCATGGAGCGGTTTCTCCAGCCTAACGTTTCTGTTTTCAATGTGGGTTCCAAACCTGAGTCTAGTAGTTGATGTCATAGGCCTGGTGAGTTCAGAGGAAGGGATCTACTGTGCACGGAGACAACTGGTGGGTTTTAATGTTCTGCAAGGGATAGCCGTTTCAAAGAGTGTATATCTCTCAAGTTGGCAAACCTCCAGGGGTCCCCTCATCTTTGTAGGTTCTCCCACTCCCCCCCCCCCCCACCTATTAGCTGGGCCAGCTCCTGTTCAGTCAGCAGGCTGTAGCTGGGGTGTCCAGGAATCATGAAGAGCTACTTCTAGCTTTGGTCGTGAAACTCTTCCTGCATTTAGCTCATGAGAGCAGAAGTCATCTTTCTATGTAACTGTCTTTCTTGTGAGTTTAGGACTTTAGGGTGGGGTTGATCTCTCTTCAATTCTGGACATAGTACTGCCTGTGTGGTTCTGTGCACAATTAAAGCAATATATGGCAGGGGGGAAGGGCCAGGAAAGGCTGGGGAAGAAAGTGACACTTCTTTTGCCAGGCTGATGTCTATCTTTTGCTTTCATTATTTTTTGTTTTTCGGTCTTTTGATATAGGGTTTCTATGTAGCCTTGACTGTCCTGGAACTCACGCTGTAGACCAGACCGGTCTTGAACTCAGAGATCTGCCTGACTTTAACTCGAATGTTGGGATTAAAGGCACATGTGCCACCACCGCTTGCTTTCATTATTTTCCTGTAGCTTCCCTAAGACAAAACAAAGCTTGGCCTCTGTGGTTTCTTCTTCTTGCTTTTTTAAAACAACTATTTATTTATTTATTTGTAAGACAAAACAAAGCTTGGCCTCTGTGGTTTCTTCTTCTTGCTTTTTTAAAACAACTATTTATTTATTTATTTATTTATTTATTTATTTATTTATTTATTTATTTATTTTAACCTGTGCCAAAGACGAATTCAGCACTCTGCCACTGAGTTACATCCCCAACCCTTGCACGGCTTTCTATAACTTTCCTTCTACCCTTGTCTTTGGATACTATCTGGCCAATTCCTGCCAAGTGAGTTAACTTCTCTAGGGCTGTTACCTCACTGCAGAATAAGGGCAACACAAGTGCCTATCAGACAGAATCAAGAGCTCAGTAAATGTAACAGCAGTTAGGTTTACAAATTCTTTTTCTTTTCAAGATTTTTTCAAGCACCCTTTCTACTTTCCCACCCTCCTCTCTACCCTCTGTCCCACCTGTCACGTGGAACTCACCCTGGACCCATACCTCCTTCCTAAATCCTGATTTTAAAACGACACGTCCTCTTTAAATTAGGAAGTTAGCTAACAAACTCGTCGTACATCTCGGGCTTAGTGTTCTGCAAATACTCGTATGAATTAAGAGCGATCACACAAAGTGACTTTAGAGCGTCCTTTCACTACAGATCACTCCTGCGGTCCCCGCCCCGACCGGCCCGCACCCGGATCACCGCGGCCCGTGCTCGCCCGGCCGCTTCCGGTGGGGCCTTCCCTCTCGGCAGCGGCTCGCTCGCGCGCTGCTCTCGGCGGGCGGCCTCATGCAGGCGGAGCGCGGGGCTCGGGGCGGCCGCGGGCGGCGGGGAGGCCGGGAGCGGCCCGGAGGGGACCGAGAGTCGGCCGGAACCGCGGCGGCGCTGGCGAGAGGAGGCTGCGGGGACGGAGGCGGCCGGCGGGGCCGAGGCCGGGGCTTCCGCGGAGGCCGAGGAGGCGGCGCCCCGCGTGGCGGCCGCCGGGAGCCGGGAGGCCGCGGTCGCGGCGGCGGAGTCAGCACACGGGTAAGCGGCGCGGGATGCTGCGGCAGCAGCCGGCGTACGGCGCCTGCGCGGGACGGAGCCGGGGGGGACGCGCGTGGACGGTGCACGCGCAGCCCCTGGCTGCTTGCGGCCCAAGGACTGGGCTACCGGCCTCCGGTTTGCTATCTCCGGGGTCCCAAAGTCTGATGGTGTCCCTGCAGTTACCCGCTACAGCGCGGGCCCGGGTACATGAACCCAAACAGAGAAATGTTTGTTCCTCTATCCTGTGTTTCCTTTATCCCATCCCAGCATTGCCTAGGTAACACTCTCTGTGGTCACATCTGGATGGAGGGACATGGGGAAGATCATGTCTTCATTTTGGTCCTTTCCACTTTTCAGATTCATATTTCGTCTTGTTGAGTACCTAAAGATTGACCGACCTTCCCGAGGTCTCTCTGTTCTCACGTCTTACAGTGAGCACATTGGTGTCTTAAATCAGGATTAACTGCAGAGCTCTGAAAGCCAGACAATACAGTTCTGCCTGTGTAGGGACCGTTCTCCAGCTGCAGGACTCCACAGAGTGCACATCCTTTGCGTTCCCTCTGGATGCAAACGGAAACAACTTCTAGCTATGTACTACTCCAAAGTAACTTCTCAGGGAGACCAGAGGTTTACTGACTTTGATAACCAAATCCTCAGGCCAATCACCTTCACTGAATACCTAGCGGAAGCGCGACACTATCCTTGATGCAATCATTAATTTCATAAAATGCAAGAATTTATTTAGTGTTTATTTTTAGAAATATATTTGTGTGTGTGTAAGAGAGAGAGAGAGACAGAAACAGAGAGAGAGAGAGAGAGAGAGAGAGAGAGAGAGAGAGAGAGAGAGAGAGTAGGCTGAGTCAGAAAGATGCTATGTAGCTGCCAAGGACATGTCGGAACCTTACCAATACGCCAAAGCTTCATGGTAAAACACAGACGAATATAAATGGGTTAATTTAAGATATAAGAGCTAGCTAGGAAGACTCTTGAGTCATTGGCCAAACTGTGTTGTAATTAATATGGTTTCTGTGTGATTATTTGGGTCTGGGAAGCCGGAATATGAACAAGCAGTCTCCGCTTATGTGTGTGCGTGCGTGTGGTGGAGGTATTGGGGGGGGTGTTGGGGTGCAGGTGTGGAGGTTGGAGGACAACCTTCTGGAGTCTATTTTCTCCTTGCACTGTGGATTACCAGGATAGAACCCTCATCATTAGACTTGCACAAGTGCTTTTACCCATTGAGCTGTATTACTTGCCCCAAAGTATATATTAAAATTTAAATGACGCATAGTAACTATACATTTATGGGGCATTAAGTAGCATTTCTATACATGGATACAGTGTGGAATGATGAGATCAGAAGGATTTGATATACCTATCATGTTAGAAATACATTACTTCTTTGTCTTGGTGTGTGGCCTAGTCTTATGGCAACCTGACACACAAGCTAGAGTCATCTGAAAGGAGGGAACCTCAGCTGAGAAAATGCCTCCATAAGATCCAGACGTAAGGGGTTTTCTTAATTAGTGATTGATGTGGAGGGCCCAACCCATTGTGGGTTGTTTGGGTAAGAAAATGGGCTGTGAAAGCCAGCAGGGAGCAAGTCAGTAAACGGCACCCCTCTATGGCCTGTGCACCAGCTCCTGACTCCAGAGTCCTGCCCCGCTTGAGTTCCTGTCCTGACTTCCTTTGGTGAACAGCAATATGGAAGTGTGAACTGAATAAATTCTTTCCTCCCCAAGTTGCTTTGGTCATGGTGTTTAATCACAGCAGTAGAAGCCCTAATTATGACAGTTGACAGCATTAAAAAGTCCTCCAGGCTAGTGTAGTAAGAAGGGTCACTTGTTGGTTCTCAGCCACCTGGCTAGCCTAGATCCGAAACAATCACACAGAAACTGTATTAATTAAATCACTGCTTGGCCCATTGGCTCTAGCTTCTTATTGCCTAACTCTTTTACTAATTTAATCCATTTCTATTAATCTGTATATCTCCACGTGGCAGTGGCTTACCAGCAAAGTTTCGGCATGTCTGACAGTAGCTGCGGCTCTTTCACTTCTCCCAGACTCCGCCCTTAACCCAGCATTCAGCCTAGCTTTTCCTGCCTAGTTCTGTTCTGCCCTTGCCATAGGCTCAAAGCAGTTCCTTTATTCATTAACCAATAATAGCAACACATAGACAGAAGGACCTCCCACACCAGGTTAGCTGTTTTCTAATAATTGATTTTCAACCATAGTTTTCCTACTTTGCTTTTTTTTTTTTTTAAGATTTATTATATATACAACATTCTGCCTGCATGTATGCCCACATGCCAGAAGAGGGCACCAGATCTCATTACAGATGGTTGTCAGCCACCATGTGGTTGCTGGGAATTGAACTCAGGACCTTTGGAAGAGCAGGCAATGCTCTTAACCAGTGAGCCATCTCTCCAGCCCCCTACTTTGCTTTTGATCTTTAGAAATGATTCCTTCTATCTAAGTGAATTCCTGTACTCATTGACCATCTCCGCCATCTCTCTTTCCTATACGTGTCCTAGTCTCTCATCACCACTATTCTAGGTTTAAGATCAACTTTTAGTTTCCACATATAAATGAGAAAGTAATACTATTGGTCTTTGTGTATCCAGCTTATTTAACTTAGCATAATATCACTTAGTTCCATTCATTTTTCTGCTGGTGACCATTTCATTCTGATGTTCTGAAGGCTGACTTTGTGTCTATATATTCTCTTCTTTTGAAAAAGAGACTTTAAAAAAATTATGCATATGTTTATGCACGTAAGTGCAAAGCCAGCAGAGACCAGACGAAGGCATCAGGTCCGAAGGCATCAGGTCCGTGGAGCCCGAGTTAAAGGCCGTTGTGTCCTCTGGAACAAGTACTCTTAACTGTCTCTGAGAGCACCTGCACGCACGGCACATGCTTACGGGCACACAAACGTGTAATAAATAAGTAAATAAACATGGGAATGCCACTGTTTCTTATGCATACTGACTCCAGTTTCTTTGGATATGTACCTAGTAGTTAGATTGTGGAATATTTACTGTTTTCCTTTCTTCCTTTCTTCCTTTCTTCCTTTCTTCCTTCCTTCCTTCCTTCCTTCCTTCCTTCCTTCCTTCCTTCCTTCCTTCCTTCCTTCCTTCCCTCCCTCCCTCCTTTCTTTCTTTCTTTCTTTCTTTCTTTCTTTTTTTTGAAGAACATCCATACTGCTTTCTGTGATGCTGTACTAACTGATGTTCCCACAGCATATGATGAGAGTTCCTGTCTCTGTATCTTCCCTAGCTCTTGTTATTTTTTCCCCCTCTTTCTCTTCTCCTCCTTTAGACAGGATTTTACTATGTACCCATGCTTCCCCATCTCAGGATTTTCCTGCCTCTATTTCTAAGGTATGGGATCACACATGTACTTCAATACATCTGACTTTATTTAGTTAACTATTCTTTTGTTTGTTGAGACATAATATTATTGGGTAGCTCGGCCTGTGTCTGGTTCTCAGTTGCTGGCATCACAGGAGTGCCCCAGTTTTATTTTAATTGCGTTTTTGGTTGTTTCTACTCCTATTCTATTCTATCTATCTATCTATCTATCTATCTATCTATCTATCTATCTATCTATCTATCTATCTATCCTGACAGGGTCTCACTATGTAGACTTGGCTGTCCTGGAACTCACTATGTAGAGCAGGCAGGCCTTGAACTCAGACATCTGCCTGCTTCTGCCTCCAGAGTGCTGGGATTAAAGGTGATCTCTCACAGGAGATTTTTTGTTTTGTTTTGTTTTTCTTTTTTGCATTTACTGAGAAATTTCTAGATACTCTTAGGCAAATAGTTTGTTCTCATGATTTTGTACATTTGAACGGTTTGAGGTTGGTCCATTTTACAGAGCCATCTCTTGCTGGGTGATCAGTTGTAAATGTTTCCTCCCCAGTCAGGTGTTCTCAACTCTTTTGGTTGTCTCCAATTGCTGTGCAGCTCTTTTGATGTGATTCCATTCATCAAGGTTGCTGCTGTTGTTTGGGCTTCGAGGTCAAATCCAAAGAAAGCTTGGCCCAGAGCAATGTTCTGAAGTGTCTTTCCTGATAGTTTCAAAGGTTCAGGTTTTATATTTAATTCTTATTTATTTTGAGTTGGTTTTGTATATAGTTTATGTCTTCTGGGTATGGATATGCACATGTATTCCTGGGGTTTTCTGTGGTGTCTCGTTGGCTCCCCACTCCCTTCCTTTTTAGTGGTGGGACTGAACTTGGGATGGTGTGCATATTACCAAGCCACATTTAAACCACCAGGTTTTTGTACCAGGACCATACAGGTTAGCCTGTTACCCTTTGCAGTGTGTTTTGAGGTCTTATATTGTAACGCTTAACTTTTATTCCTCTGTTCAAGACATTTTAGGAGTGGTTGTTCTGGTTCTGTGAAAAATATCGGGCTATCTCTGGGCATTGCTTTGACTCTGTAGATCACTTTGGGTATTACAGGCATGTGAAACATAGTGCCTAGTTCCAGCTGTGCACCCGGGAAGGCTGTGAAACCTTGTAACTTAGTGTCTTCTCCAGTTGCTCCCATTGATGCTTTGTAATAATCATTGCAGATATCACTCATTTTTTTGGCTAAATTTATTCACATATGTCTTATTTTAAGTTTTCGCTGGTATTGGTTATTTATTTAGATTTATTTTTTTACTTTCACCAATTTTGATACTGTTATATTAAAAAACCAACTACATTTTACATGTTAATTTTATATTTTGTAACCTTTCTAAATTTATCAGTCTTAATTTTTTTGGTAGTATTGTTTTATATATAATTTATATAACCATATACAATTCTATAAAATGTAATATATAAAGTATATAATTATATAAAATATACATAATTAATGTCTTCTGCTAGTACGGGTTGCTTAAGTCCCTTCTTTTCTGTTTGGATGCCCCTCTTTTGTTTTCTTACTTTGGCTGAGACTTTGGAGACAGGACCGTACTATGTAACCCTGGCTGGCCTGGAACTCACTATA